AGGGGGGGGGCGAGTGACCAACAAACAGACAGGTAAATCGGACCAACAGACAAGGGGCGTGGACTAAGGATCTCAATTAAGGTTGCCACGGTGAATGATGTGAAGGGAAAGGGTTAACACACAGAGCTATAATATTATGTTCTGTAGCACCTGTGGGCCTTATTGGTCATGGCTGACAGTGACCAGTGGACTGGACTCATTTCACGAGAGTCAGAAACTGGCGTCAGTTCATCAGCGACTGCCATAAATGTACACAGACAGCCACGGATATAGGCCCTACTAGACGCAAGTAGACACCTACATTCTGGGAATCCAGATTTCTCTATTTGTTTTATAAAGTAAAGACGGGTTTTGCATCTGAAAAAAGTCGTCATTAAAGGAATAGGGACGTGTGACCTTTTCGTTTTGCTCGAAGAAAAGAAATCTGAGGAGAACGAAGTTTGCACCTTTTTCAGTGTTTCAAAGGGGAGTAAACTGGACTCGACGGCAACAGGAAAGCGTCTTTTTGTGTTTTCAACAAGCTGGAGAAATACGTTTCTTTGACATAGATTTGTCATTCTGAGTAGTTGGAGATCTAAAGTGTGGTTTGGTGCAGGATTTCATGAGATGGCATGTTGTGTCGTTGGACAAGAAGAGGTGAGATTGTCATAATTCATTTTAATTATTTTATGTTTCTAATACATACATGTTAATAGTACAGATTGTGAAGCGCATAGAGCTTGCTGTTGAGCGGGGATTTTCGCTATACAAATGCGATCTATTATTATTAATACACAATTGCCATTTAAGATAATTTGATAACATTAATCTTGTTACATATTTATTTTTCCTTAAAATTACGAACAACAAGAAACGTTTCAGAAACGTAACTAATGGGGTTTCTATTTAGCATTTTTTAATGTATACTGTTATATTTTTATTTTCTTTGAAACCTTTGCCGTCATTAGACTGATCCTCTTCCACCAACATAAAAACGAAAGACAAACGAGGAAACAAGGAACGAATGAACACTCCATGCCCATCCATCAAAACAGACTAAAAGATGAACCAAAAAAAAAAAAAGAAGAAGAAAAAAAGAAACAGAGCAAAGTCCGATCAAAACACACAAACAGCGTTTTCAATTTTCTCAAGCGTGAAGGTGGTGCTGTACATTTTTAGTCTACCTTGACGAAAACTCAGTCTGCAGTTCAGCAACGAGGGAAATGGCAATTTTGTCTTCTTTGTCGAGGCCCATAGAATTTGCTAAGTTGTTTTGGTTTCTCAATAAAAATTTATCCAGAGTGAAACAGTATCATTTATAAGAGAGGCCATTAATTATAATAAATAATAATGACACTCTAGATAAATGTCCGTAAAGTGCGACCCAGGGGGGGGGGGGTAGGCTCCAGGCTCCAGGGTATAGCTAGCTGCAAAAAGGAAATGTCCTTAATGGACTGTTAATAATTGATCGATTTGTGCAAAAGTCGCTTACTGGCTGTTGTACTTGAAGAAACGTTTTTGCTATGAAAAAATGAATAAATTAAACGTTTAGGAACATTATTTTTGTTTACCTTTTTGTACTTTGAACCATTAACCACACATAAATGCGCATATTATTATCAAGAAATCTGGTGGCTTTAACCAGGTAGCCTACTCCATCCGCTAGAATAGCTTTCATCGAGGGCGTTTTGTGTAAATTGTGGGTAAATTGTTCTGCTAAAATGGAAAAAGACCTGGCCTGATATATTAGTGTTTAGTGTAGGACGCTGGACGTAAAATGAAACAGAAACATAGAATAAGAATGGTCTTAAGTAGCATCCGTCAAAAAAGAGAAAAGAAAGCGCGTTCAGTTTTAAACGCTTTGGACAACTCTGTTATGCAGCAACGTTTAAAAAATGTTTTTCTCTTCTCTCCCTATGAATAGTTAATTCTTAATTATCAGAAGGCACGCTTTCTTGGGGTAGACCTACATGATTTTTTTTCAATCCACCATCGGCTTTCTCTGCTTAAAAGTATTAGAGGCGAGGGTATAGAGGCACAATGCCATGATGGGTGCGTAGAAACCAATTTGCAGTACTAAATTATTAAAAAGAAGAAAGCGTCTTTTTTCATCCACCAAGAGCTAAAACAGAAAGAAGATCTGACCTAAAAGTAGGATGATTTATTACAATCTATCACTCAAGGATTTATAGAAGGCACAAAAGGCAGACTGAGACCAAAAACTTCTTTAGAGAAATATTCTAACGGTTGGGTGACGGGAAATAACTAGGATAATGGCGATATTTTATTAGATCAGGTGATCGAGCTCAGAAATAAGAGGCGAACTTTGACTGCCAATGTATGTTTCAAAGGAAGAAGAAGAAGAAGAAGAAGAAGAAGAAGAAGAAGAAGAAGAAGAAGAAGAAGAAGAAGAAGAAGAAGAAGAAGAAGAAGAAGAAGAGTGAAAT